ATATACTGTGAAAAAATATTTTTAATATTTACGATTTATAATTTTATAGTTATTTATTTATATATATATACTATATTTTTTGGGGTTAGGCTCTCCAAATTGCACTGTATAATATGTTCTGAATTAATATGTTCTTGGGTTTTTTGAAATATATATATATACATATACATGTATTAATTCAACCTTAATCTGAGTTTCTGGACAAGAAAGAGGGTAAGCAGTTGAAATTTCATTCTAAAACCCATCTTTTTTTGTCTTTTCATGACTTATGATCTGTCAAATTTGTGGTTTTCTTTATTGGTTTTGAGTGTTTATCTTAAAACTCAAGTTTCTTGGTTCTTTGCTCTTGGTATAAATCGAACACATTTGTGGAGTCGTTTAAATATGTTGGATTTTAAATATATTGGATTTTAAACTATCATACACTTTTTTCATCGATTGTCTGTAATTGAAAGCATAACTCTTATTTATTCAAATTGTATTAATATGTAAAGACCAAGTGTAACCTATATCATCGTTAAATCTATCTTATAAAACTAGTGGAACTTCAAAATCGTTAAAATTCATGGCTCCTGCCGCATTGCGTAGGTATACAACTAGTTAGGATAAGAAGCACCGAGATGCATCAGATCAATCCCCGTATCAAGCGTGATTAATTGGTGGATTTGAGATTAAAGGCGATCGAGAGTCCAGATACCTTTTTACGCTTCTCACCTTACTCTTCTTTCTCACACCATATTTCGCCTCTCTCTCTCTCTCTCTATATATATATATATATATATATATATATACATATAAGGTTCAAATAAGAATGCTAAATATTGTAAGAAGATAATAAAAGAAGGTTCATACGTAAATCATGAAAGTTCATTTGAAGATGCATATGTGTGTCTATATGAATAATCTGTTATGCTGGTTCACATATGCATTTTGAAATAGATTTTTTCAATGAATTCGCATATGAACTTTTTTTTAACCTTTTTTTGATCTTCTCAAGATATTTAGTCTTTTTATTTGAACATCTACCGTATATATACAGGCACAATCAAATAAGAACCTCATATATTATGATAATCGTGAGAACTTCTACTTTAAGTTATTATTTAACATTATTTTTGTAATCTGAGACTAGGATTTGATATTGATTAACATATATTTGTTTAACAATGTATTTGTTTTAACATATATTTTGGTTTACAATGTGAAACTTTTTATGTATATTTTTTGTTTCACAAACACGTAAAAATGGTTCACATTGTGAAACAAATATATGTTACTCAATTCCCTAAATAACACATGATATATTGATTCTTAAAGTTTTTACAATTTTATAGGTTCTAAATATATTATATAGACACACAATATATATTTATCTATATATAGATAAAATCGAAAAATCATGTGAGAAGAGAAGTTATGATGAGAAGCATAAAAATAGATTTGAACCTTTGGTCATTTTTAATCTTATGTCCACCAATGAATTGCGCTTTAGAAGAGAACTAATCCGGTACACCTCATTAGCGTTCACATTCAATTATGATTGATCTAAGAGTGTAGATCTCTTTTGATACTTTTTATCATAACTTTCATTTTCATCGGAACACGTTCCTGTAGATATATAAAGTCGTTTCTTTAATATTTAGTTAATTGGTGTATATTCTTTTAACAAATAAACCAGTTTTGCCAATTGAATTGGTATTAGGAAGACAACCTTCCGCTAGTTTAAAAATAATAAGGGTAATTTATACTATATTATAAAAAATTTGACAAAAAAAATTAAAAGCCATCTTTTATATATGAAATATTGCTTATTGATACATATTACTTAAAATTCAAGATTACAAGTAAATTTTGAATAAGTACAACTTATTAAGCTCCATATTTGAATTTGTGTAACTAAATGTAGATAAATATAATCAAATACAGAATAAAATTCTCATTTTAAATAGATCTAAAATATAATTAAGATAATTATTGAGTTCTAACAGAATAATAAGTTATTATCTTTAAAAAAATTATATTATTAAATCAAAAACAAATTACTTCGTCATTAAACCTAAATTAAATTATAACAACAAAAATTGAATTAATGAAATTACCCAAAAAATAAGAACTTTTATATTTTTTAAGTTTTTTATGATATCTTCAAATTTATATTTTTAAAGTAAGCATTATTGTTTGCTCAAAACCACATAAATCCATATTATAATATCATCAGAGACCAAAAAGATAAAC